TCCATACTTCCACCTTCTATATACTTTCACCTTGCTTCCACCTTCTGTTTGTATCAAAGGATTAATTTCAAACCCATTTTTCTATGTATCACTGCCCACTTTGAGTTTGGAGCTGGACAGAAACTTAGAAAGATTAATCTGGAAGATTAATATTTAAAGGAAGAGCATCACTCCTAAGTCAATGAGAAGAGGATGAGATCAGTTTCATCACTTATTTTCTCAAAAAAATTAAAAAGTCTTAAATAATTTTCCAGCTCCATCCAAGCATTTCATAAATGTAAAGAACTCTGCTTCTTATAAATCCAAATTGGGCAAGTGACATGAAAATTTTACAATATGCTTATTCATCAATGCCAGTGGCCAATACTCCAAGGGGTTTTTTTTAAGGAGAAAACACTTTGAAGAAAATTTATCAATTAGTTTTTATAATTTGCTTTTTATGTAGTCTATCTCTCTTAATTGGTACCTAGGTGTTCTAGTCATTTGATTACTCAAAAAATAACTCATAGACATTTCTACTCCTCTCTAGTTAGACAGATACTTTAAAAATTAATTTTGACTCTTCCAATGAATCTGAAAAGCAGAAAAAATGGAGGGTTTTGTTTTGTTTTATTAATTACTCTGAGGTAATGTTATTTTTAAATTTGTTACTAATTTTATTCAAGGGTCCTGATTTGTATTACTGGAATGCTTTGTGTTTACAATAGTGTCTATATCTGCTGGGTATTTTATGTTTTACTGGCTAAATATGACACCTAAAAATAGCCAGCATCAGACACTTTTGATAGGAAAGATAGAAGACTGATTTCATTTTGATATGACATGACATTTGACACTCAATGTCATGTATCATGTCATGTATCCATGTCTAAAAGTCCTAAAGCTGCCATCAAATTGGATTATAAAAAGAAGCTATTGTAATCAACGAGAAATTAATTTTAAAGGTTTTATTAATAGCTTAGATGAAAACAAATTTGAGTATTTACACTGTAATTATATTGTTCTCACTTTCTAGCCACTGTTAACTTAAAGCTGACTTTTTAAAATTATATAACGGATTCTTCCAGAACTAATTGCCCTTAATCAATACCAACTCCTTGATTTTGTCATATTGCTTCCCAAATGTATAGCAAGCAAAAATGCATGGTCTAATCCACCACTGTTTAAAAAAAAATACTGTAGTAATATAGTGCATTTTGATAGAAATACCCTCTTCTTACTTGCATGTGCAGTTGGAGGTACGTGTAGGTTTTTAATGGCAAAGTCACTCTGAAATACAAAATTCTGTATTATAAATTTCTGTTAAATGGTAAGAGGCTTTTCATGCCTTGACTTCTTTCTTCTCAGAAGATCATCAGCTGGGAATATGTATTGTAACTCCACTGAAGCACTGTGCTACATTAAGTAGCCTCAAAAATGACAAATGGCTATGAGAAACTGTAGGGCAGACAATGTCTTCCCATACTGTAAAAATTTTGATAATCATGACTGAAATATGTTTTCATATTTAGCCCACAGTTTGTCCAAACAATCTCAAAGGTATTTTGATAGTGTGCTGTGAAATTTATCTTACCTTCCTAGCTTTTTGTCATTCTGTTTAGTCATGCCTGAAGAGCTGAATTGCTCAAATCACTTCTGGTAGAAAAGAAAACAGAGATTAAAGTATAGGGAGACTGGAATGATTAACACTACAGTGTTATCTAAAAATTAAGGGTTTATCTGCAATAGGGATATAAAGGACTGGGTGAGCACCAGCCCAACCTGCTAATGAACTAAGATGCAATCTGTAAAAAATGTGGTTCACTACAATTTATTGTCATTCCAGCACTCCAGATTAACAATTCTATCAGTGACTAGAAACCCTGGAAGAGAAAATTCCTGCAGGTAGCCTTCAGACATGGAGAGAAGATAAATCTGTGAATCCAAAACCCACCTTAGGCACTATTAATAGGTGTGATGATATCACATGAAAAAGTGGGGTTAAAAAGTAGTAGTGTAACTGATCAATGGAATCAAATACTATTCATCTAAGGGTAAGGACAAAAATTATATAGAAGCCCAGGGTTGTTCCTTTGCCTTCATAAGGACCACTCTAAGTGACTGTGAAACAAGGACCACACTTTGTAGTCTCTTTACAGTCTCTGTAGTCTCTGTAGGGCAGAGAGAAGAGTAAACCTTTAAGCAATAGATTATTGGTAGTTAAAGGAGTGTCTGGGGAAGTGTCACCATATGCTTGTTTTTCCACTCTTCCCTAGGCCTCTAATCTTGACCACTGTCAGTAGGAGAGCACAAAACCAGATGGGTCTTTGGACTGTTCTTATGTTCCCATCTTATACTCAAGGGCAGCATGAACAAAGTGACTTGAAAAAAGAAGTTACTTTCCAAATCTTAGACAACCAATAGGTACAGTAAGAGCAGGCCTGTCTGCCTCTTGATTGACATTCCAAAATGGAGTTTTGTATCTCTTTAAGGACAGTTTTCTCAGATTCTTGGAATACATAGGTAAACTTTTCAGTAAAATTAGAAAATCACTGCCACAGATGTATAACAAAGGACAAGAGAAAAGCCCCTTTGGAAAGTAGCCCCATAAAATCTCATTTTGTCATAGTTTCTTGAATCTCTTCTATGTTTCAGCATGGCTTGTTGCAAACTGCAAATAAAATTAATCTCAGATGTTGTAGTTGATAGCCTGAAATGTATCTTTTCCCATCTTTCAGTTGTGATTCCCCCCCCAGCTTCTCTTTCTCCTGTTTACCTGGCGTCAAGTTACCATGGTTACTGAAATTTCTCTCCTCAGCCCCACGGCAAGAGGCCGGGTAGAGTAAAGAGAGGACCCCGCTGGCATTTCCAGCTGCTTGAAGTTTCTTTAGCCCAGGAAAGCACGGGGTTGGGAGAAGAGAACTCTTCTTTCCTACACGGAAGTTTGTAACTTTTTCCTGTCCCAGAATGCCTCTGAGCTATGGAAGCTGAGAGGGTATGCTTACCTTGCCTTCCCATTCTTTCCCCCCTGTGTTGCCAGGAAACCAGGCCCCCCCTCTCTCCCCCTCTGCCCCTCTGTATAGAATACTCCCACACCTTTGTGGGCATTTGAAGAAGTTAGTGTCTGTTATTTTTATCTTGGCGTGTGTAACCTTGATTTGTAGAAAGTTTGCAAGATGTACTAGCTGAGAAAATAATTGGTTCCCTCTCTGATGTTCCCTCCCTCCGAGAAACCCTGTTAAAAGAGACCCCCCCAGACCCCAAATCTTTGGTCTCTCATCCTTTGGATTCCCCTTCACAGAAATAAACTGTGGAATGCAAACCAGAGAGAGAGTCCCCCCCTGATTTCTTTACTCGCTCTATAGACTTGGATTCTTGAAGAAAATCAGTGAACCCCACAAACATATGCTGGCTCGAAACTCGAGTGAAGAGAAACCTCATCACTGAGCTAGCCGGGCCACACTCGAGAAGATCGAGTCAGATGACGCCCAGAACGTGAGGCTGGCCTGTCCCTCAACAAAGGGGACAGAAGAACCACGGAAGGTGAGATTCTGACCACCGCTGGGACGACATCTACCCCAGAAGCGTCTCTTCGCTGTTCTAAGTGGAAGACGTGTTGGGGAGAAAAGCAAGAACCCCTGTGCACCGAGGGGCTGCTTTTGAGAGCGAGACAACGGCAGGAGCATTCAGAAGACTGAATTCCCCAAAGGGGGGAAGTGGTGAAGAGGGAGTGGGTGAGAGAAGAGTCCCATCCCAGGTGAAACTTCTGGATGCAGAGCAGTTTGGAGCCGTTGGTGAAATAGCTGCGACGGACAGGTGAGATCACAGAGATGGGTGCAAGACTGTCTGTAGCACAAAGGGGGATTTTTAATCAAGTGATTGGCATTTTGCAAATTGGAGAGAAACCGTTTTCTAAGAAAAAAGTGAAAAAATTAGTGAATTGGGTTTTTTTAAATTTTCCTCAAGTGTCTCCTGCAGATGTAACTTCTGTTTCCTTTTGGAACAGAGTGGGGACAAAATTGACTGAATCTGTGAATGCTGGAGATAGTTCAGCAGAGAAAGTAATCCATTTGTTTGTTTTGATTAGACTAACCCTTATTGAAAAAGAAGAAAAAAGGTTATCCAATCCTAACCCTGATAACCCTGTTTCTTTACCTCAACCCTGTTACCCTAAGCTGGGGGAGTCCTCTCAGCACCCCTGTTCCAGGAGCTCTGGCCAAGCTGTTGGAAACCTTTCCCTAAAACCCATCCCAGCTCCCTCTCCTACCCCTCTTTACCCTCAATATCCCTCTCCTCTTGTTCCTGGTGGTCTTTTGGGTACACAAAATGGAGGAGACCACATGGTGAGCCTCCCCCCAAGTGTTACACAAAGGGCCCAGGAACTTCAAAATGGTGGCGAGCACATGGTCAACCCCCAGGTTGCTTCTTCTTCCCACAATCCCTTTGTTGCCCCTCCCCCCCTCAACCCTTTCCTCCCTCAAGACCTCCCCCCTCCTGGTCCTCCAGACCCTCCCTCCTCTGCCTCCGCCCCACCCCTCAGGGGTGTCTCCCTCCCAAGGCACCCCGCCCCTGACCCCTCCTACCCCCCCTGCAACCCCGCCTGCCCTCTCTCTGCTGCTGGCTCCCAGGTCACTCCCTCCAGCTCACACAGTGTGGAGAAGGGAGGGAGTGAAGGGACAAACCAGGAACAGAGGCCTGCCTTCTTTGCAGCACCTGTAACTTATGGGAGGGGAGGAACATTACCAGAATGGAATGCAATGTCATTTCGATTGAAAATGGAATTATGCAAAGCAGCAAAAGAGTTTGGAAAGGAAAGCCAATTTTTTAAAAGTCTTTTAAAGGCAACCCTCTCCTCCAACCAATTGGTCCCCCATGATTTGAAGGATTTGTTTTCCTGCCTTCTATCCCCAGGAGAATATTTGCTCTGGGAAGGGGCTTGGAAAAGATTGTTGAAAACCCTTTTGGGAGAATTACTGAGCAGTGATTTTGAAGCTTTAGATGAAACGGGTAAAATAATTACCATGAATCATTTATGTGGTGAAGGTGATTGGAGCGAACCTATTGACCAAGCCCAAAATTTGCCAAAAGGAGTTAGAGAGAAAATAAAGAAGGCTGCAGAGAAAGCATTTTTCAATATTCCTCTTTCTGAATCTGTTGTTCCCTATGCTCAAGTTAAACAATGTTCTGATGAAAGATTTGTAGATTTTGTGAATAGATTAAAGGTACAGATTGAAAGACAAGTGCAGAATACCACCCTGCACTCTGACTTGCTGTTGGAAATGGCTCGAGTGAATGCGAATGAAGCCTGCAAAGCACTGATTCGGGTGCTGCCGAAAGATCCACCACCGACCTTGACAACTTTGATCGAGATGTGTACGGATGTAATCAGCACTTCAATGCCAAGGACTGAGGATTCCCAAAGAACCCCAGGAAGGATTGCAGCCACAACTGTACCTACTCTGCCATCACCAGCAAAGCCGAAGGGAGCGTTCACCTGTCATCGGTGTGGACAGCCAGGACATTTTGCAAAGTTTTGCCAAGTGCCATATCCTAACAAGCAAGGGCAAAGAAACTTGGAAAAGGGAGGGGGTCCTCAGAACCAAAAAAACTAGATACGCAGCGCGAGTCTATTCCGCGCAGAGACACAAGTAGAATAGAAGTCGCAGGGGGAGGGAAAATTGAATGTGATAACACTCTTAAATGTGACGTTTCTCACAGGTCTGACTTCTGCCACCGAAATAACACCAATGGTTGTGAGGTTTGGAAGCCAAAATTACCTCTCAAATTGTTTACTGTGAAAGATCAATTTTTTAGGTCTCGCCACTGGACGGTTGTTTCCGTTGACCCGCTGAGGGAAAAACTGACCCCCGACTTGAATTGTAAGTTTCTTGTTATTGGGGACACAAAAAACACACCCCCAGAGATTGAAATTTCTCCTGTCACTCTTTCAGCTGACTTGGATGCACTCATCCTTTTGGCACGGTGCATCAACCCACCATTCTACCTGGCACAAGGGCAGGTAATTGCTCAAGCTATTCCCATTCCATCAGGGATCCCAGTAGATGATGTAGCACCTCAGATCTACTGGGCTCAAGCAGTGGGAGAAAACAAACCCATCATCTCATGCCATTTGAAAAAAGGTAGTGAAGGCATGGGAATGACAGGCATGATAGACACAGGAGCAGATGTGACTGTCATCCCTGAAAGGAGATGGCCACCACAATGGGAACTGCAACCGATGGTTAGCCACATCCAAGGTATAGGGGGAGCCCAATTGGCCAAGATATCAAAGGAACCCATTCAGATTAGAGGACCTGATGGGCAAATAGCATCTATTCGCCCCATTGTCACTGATTTCCAGGTTCCCCTGTGGGGAAGAGATGTCATGTCCCAATGGGGAGTCCGCATTGAAATTCCGAAAACACCTCGGGATTTTTGATTGCGGCCACTGAGAAGCGCCAGACCCAGAAACTAGAATGGACCACAGATTCCCCAATTTGGATACCCCAGTGGCCGCTGAGTAAAGAGAAATTAAAGGCGCTAAACGAGTTAGTAGATGAGCAATTGGCCCAAGGCAATATTGAACCTACTTTTAGCCCTTGGAACTCCCCTGTGTTTGTCATTAAAAAGCCAGGGAAAGACAAGTGGAGATTAGTTCATGATCTGAGAGAAATTAACAAAGTCATTGTAGACATGGGACCTCTTCAACCAGGGATGCCGTCTCCTGCCATGCTTCCTCAAGATTGGGAATTGGCTGTGATTGACATCAAAGATTGCTTTTTCAAAATTCCTCTAGACCCTATCGATGCCCCCAGGTTTGCTTTTTCTGTGCCTTCCCTCAACAGAGAAGCCCCAATGAGAAGGTTTCATTGGAAATCCCTCCCCCAAGGGATGAAAAATTCACCTGTGATTTGCCAATGGTATGTTGCTGCCTTGTTATCCCCTGTGCGAGCTGAGGTGGGGGAAGCCATTATCCTGCATTATATGGATGATGTGCTAGTGTGTGCCCCCCAGGAAAAATTGCTCCAGTCCACACTGGACCGGGTGACCGAAGTTTTAACAACTGCAGGACTCACCCTTCAGGAAGAAAAAGTACAAAAGATGCCTCCTTGGAAATACCTAGGTCTGGAAATCACTGCAAAAACAATTGTTCCTCAAAAATTAGCTTTTAACAGCAATCCCAAAACCTTAGCCGACTTGCACTCTCTGTGTGGAACACTGAATTGGGTTAGGCCTTGGCTAGGCATTGCCACTGATGACCTAGCCCCTCTTTTCAATTTATTGAAAGGGGGAGATGAGCTGAGTGCTCCAAGGACTCTGACTCCAGAAGCCAGGGATGCTTTAGAGAAGGTAAGCAGCATGATGGAGAAGAGACAGGCACATAGATGCCATCCAGAGCTGCCTTTCAAATTTATTGTAATGGGGAAATTGCCACACCTTCAGGGGTTGATTTTTCAGTGGGACAAGGACCAGAAAGACCATTTGATAATCATTGAGTGGGTCTTTCTCAGTCACCATCGGTCCAAAAATATTACAAGGCCACAGGAATTGATGGCCCAGCTGGTTGGAAAGGCCAGGCTGAGAATGAGAGAACTTGCTGGCTGTGATTTTTCATGTATACATTTGCCCCTAAGCCTCTCTGAGGAAGAAACCTCCTCAGTGAAGATGACCAGGGAAATGTTTGAGCACCTCTTGAGGAATCAAGAGACCCTGCAAATTGCTCTGGAGAATTTTACTGGGCAGATTTCAGTTCATGCCCCTGCACACAAATTGTTTAATTCAAAATTTAATTTGGTACCAAAAGATAAGAGGAGTCAGAAGCCCCTTGAAGCTTTGACTGTTTTTACTGATGCTTCTGGAGCATCCCGAAGGTCAGTAATGACCTGGAAGGATCCTCAGACGCAGCAGTGGGAAACAGATGTTGATTATGTAGAAGGATCCCCTCAAATTGCTGAGTTAGCAGCAGTGGTTAGAGCATTTGAGAGGTTTTCAGAACCATTCAATTTGGTCACTGATTCAGCTTATGTAGCAGGAGTAGTTTCCAGAGCAGAAAATGCAGTCCTCAAGGAGATCTCAAACAGAACTTTGTTTGAATTGCTCTCAAAATTAATTTATGCAGTTTCCCATCGAGAACATCCCTATTTTGTTATGCATACCCGGTCGCACATGGAATTACCTGGTTTCATAGCAGAAGGGAATGACAGAGCTGATTCCCTGGCTGCTGCCCCTGTTGGACTGGCCAGACTCCCTGACCTGTTTCAACAGGCAAAATTAAGCCATGAAATGTTTCATCAGAATGTACCAGGTTTGATTCGACAGTTTAATCTGAAACGAGATCAAGCCAAAGCCATTGTGGCCACATGTCCCCACTGTCAGCGCACAGCTCTGCCATCCCTGGGTGCTGGAGTCAATCCAAGGGGACTGAAAAGCTGTGAAGTATGGCAAACTGATGTAACACACATCCCTGAATTTGGACAGGTAAAATATGTACATGTATCCATTGATACCTTCTCGGGAGCAATTTTTGCCTCAGCCCATGCAGGAGAAAAAGGTGTGCATGCCACAAAGCACCTGTTGCAAGCTTTTTCTGTACTAGGAATCCCTAAAGAAATTAAAACAGATAATGGACCAGCATATATTTCCAAAGTGTTTAAGGAATTTTTGCAGGAATGGGGAGTGAGACACAAGACAGGAATCCCCCACTCTCCAACAGGTCAAGCAATAGTAGAGAGAGCACACCAGTCACTCAAAAGAGTTTTGAAAAATCAATGGAAAAACAAAGTAAAGTTAACACCACAGGAAAGATTATGCAAAGCCCTGTTCACTCTCAATTTTTTAAACTGTTCTATGGAAGATCAAAACCCCCCAGTGGTTAAGCATTTCTCCCCTCATGGCAAACACAAGCTCAAGGAACATCCACCAGTGCTGATGAGAGACCCTGAAAGTGGAAAAATTGAAGGTCCTTACAAATTAGTGACATGGGGAAGAGGATACGCTTGTGTATCAACACCCCTGGGTTTGCGGTGGGTCCCACAGAGGTGGGTAAAACCGTACATTGAAAAACATCCCACAAGACCCCCCGATATTTCAGTAGCAGAAGTTCAAAGAACAAACAGGTATTTGGGTGGAGAAGGAAATCCAGATTCTCCATTCTACCCTGACTTTCCACTGTTGAATCTGTTTATTGATGAATTTAGCTAATGGTTTTTGTTCCTTGTTTACCTGTATTTTAAGAAGAAACCATCCTCAGTATGACAGTTTTGTAGACATTTTCTCAGGATGGGGATTTTCGGGATGGCTGTCTTCTGTTTTCTGGACTGTTTTAGGGTTTTTTGCAATTGTTGTTGTTGTTTTGATTGTGTTTTCTGTTTTGCAACGTTGGTGTGTTACCACCACCACCAAGTTAATTTCTCCTGCACCTCAGATAAATGCTGTGGAATTCCCAAATCCCAATACACCCCAAACCCCTTCCCCTTGGTTTGAAGAAGTAAAACCAAGTTCCCTTCCTTCTTTTGGAAAAAATTAGGGGGAGATGTTGTAGTTGATAGCCTGAAATGTATCTTTTCCCATCTTTCAGTTGTGATTCCCCCCCCAGCTTCTCTTTCTCCTGTTTACCTGGCGTCAAGTTACCATGGTTACTGAAGTTTCTCTCCTCAGCCCCACGGCAAGAGGCCGGGTAGAGTAAAGAGAGGACCCCGCTGGCATTTCCAGCTGCTTGAAGTTTCTTTAGCCCAGGAAAGCACGGGGTTGGGAGAAGAGAACTCTTCTTTCCTACACGGAAGTTTGTAACTTTTTCCTGTCCCAGAATGCCTCTAAACTATGGAAGCTGAGAGGGCATGCTTACCTTGCCTTCCCTTTCTTTCCCCCCTGTGTTGCCAGGAAACCAGGCCCCCCCTCTCTCCCCCTCTGCCCCTCTGTATAGAATACTCCCACACCTTTGTGGGCATTTGAAGAAGTTAGTGTCTGTTATTTTTATCTTGGCGTGTGTAACCTTGATTTGTAGAAAGTTTGCAAGATGTACTAGCTGAGAAAATAATTGGTTCCCTCTCTGATGTTCCCTCCCTCCGAGAAACCCTGTTAAAAGAGACCCCCCCAGACCCCAAATCTTTGGTCTCTCATCCTTTGGATTCCCCTTCACAGAAATAAACTGTGGAATGCAAACCAGAGAGAGAGTCCCCCCCTGATTTCTTTACTCGCTCTATAGACTTGGATTCTTGAAGAAAATCAGTGAACCCCACAAACATATGCTGGCTCGAAACTCGAGTGAAGAGAAACCTCATCACTGAGCTAGCCGGGCCACACTCGAGAAGATCGAGTCACTCAGACACCTTGTTCTCAGGGCTTTTCTTCCCCTCTGATTATTGAATGCTATGGATTCATTTTTCCATGAGACATTGAGTTTGCCCAGTGTTAGCTGTATCATTACAGTATGTGGCACACAGACCTTCCCATAAGCAGAAAACTACAATTACATGTAGATATTTAGTGCAGCATGAACAAAAAGAAAAATACATTTTACTTTCATTTTATAAATAAAGATTAATCCTCTATTTTGTAAATAAAGACCATTTGTCAATTAAATGGTCATGTTTTTCAGCAGTATTTTCAAAAAAGCATCTCAAAAGTAGATAATTGTTTATTGAATTAGAATGGGCATTGTTTAACTTTTTTTTTTTTTTTGCCTTTTATTATGATTTCTTTTTAATGAAAGCATCACTATTTCTTTGCTTGGGAACTAAACAAAATTATAACACCTCTGGAAAATGAGTGGGTTTGCCCTAGGACTCAAATTTACTGAAATAAACAGTTTTTCTTATATTGCTCATGTCAGAATATCCCATACTATAATCACATATTCAGAGATATGTTACACTTATTGATAATGTCAGTGTAAAAACCAATAAAATAGTAAAAAACCCACATCTAAATATGTTGTTTTAAAGTTCAACTATCTGCACATTGCAGAGAGTAATCAAATAAATCACTAACAGGTATAAGCTGAAAGTCTGCTTACATAGTCTAACTGCAAAAAACCCAGAAAAAATATATCAATATAGATTTTCTTTTAAAAGTAAGCACTCCAGAACTTTCCTGTCCCCAAAGCTCTGCAGTAATGAGAAAACAACCAAAGTTTCATGACAATTTCAGTTCCAGTTAAGAAATTGGAAGTTGAACAACCAAGTGGAAAAAATGTCTTTTAAGAGTTACGGAGAAGCTAATGTGGATTTGTAAAGAAACAAAACTCTGCCAGACCAATTTAATTTCCTTCTCCGATGTGACAATAAGACTTGGGAATAGAAAAAAGTTGCAAATGCAATCTTTCCATGCTAGTAAGGCTTTTGACACATGACATTCTTATGTGCAAATGAGGAAGCAGGGTTTAGCTGAAAATAATATACTGGGCTGTGAACTTATCGGAAATCTGAACACCTCTCAGTGCTTTGCTATTCACAATGAAAGGTTATCAAGACTAGAAAGGTTATCACTGAAAGGTTATCAGGATCAGACTTTTGCTGTTTCCAACATTTTTATTAGCAATCAGAATGAAGAAATCTGCTTATTCAAATCACAAATTACACACTTTGAAAGAGATTGTTCATATACAGGAGACAGAATTTAGGATTCAAAATGATCTCATGAAAGATGCATGATGCTCTAGCAGAGGAAAGGCAATGTGCTGCCACTCAGGCAAATTCATATGGCAATGCAGAACTTTGTAGGCAGCAGCAGCTATTCAGTAAAGCCATCAAGATTCATCATTGAATCTCAAGCTGAAGGTGAATAAAGAACATCTCAATGTCCTGAAAGAGAGTGATCTAGTCCAGTTAGTGACCAATACAGAACCAAAATGGTCAAACACTGAGGAGAGGAACAATAATTGGAATGGTTGTAAATAAACAAATGTGTCCTACACTTCTCTGGACTTCTTGACTGTACGCAAACCTTCAAGCAAAAGTGAGAAAACGGAGTGGTTGGTCACCTATTGGGGTTTTGCAAGAGAGAAAACCACTTAAAGGCGTTTTAAAGCATGATTTATTACTCTTCTTCCACAGTCTCATGAAGGAGTGAGTATGTCTTCACCTTATTCACCAGATGTTCTTGGTGAGTGGTCGCAAGATTATAGGTCACAAGGTTTTTTTAAAGGTTAATTAGCCAATAAACTAATGTCACAGAAGAATGTTTCTACTTTCACACCAATAGGTAATCATTTTGTTTCATATGTGTGCTGCAGTGTAGACATTCTTAACCAATCATATAATGACACACAAAACTACTTGTTATACCTTAAATTTCTTAGTATCTTTATAACTACTTCTATATCTTAATTTTAAAATGTTAAAACTTCCTACAACCTAACTTAATGTCTTTTTATTTAAACTCACATTCTTATGGTTCTAAGTCTGGAAGCTTTCTCCAGGACCTTAAATCAAACCTTGTGTCCATGTGTATATCTAAGCTTGCATTTACAAGATTTTGAGAGCTTTCTGTGCTTGGAATTCCACAGTCACCAACTAAACACATCCTTCTTTAGATGTTCTAGTCGAAAGAAATGACTGCTGGGAATGAACACAATGTCTACACATTACAGACATCCAAAGACTTAAACTTTCTGAAATAAAGAGCTATAAAGATAGTATTTGCATGTCTTTACCCATAAGAAACTAAAGAACTGAGTAGAAAATGACCCTGGCAATAAGATTATCATCTAAGTTACCGTGTCCTAGGACAGGGGAACGGATTTGATCATCTCTCACAGGTCAACAATTCTGTAACTTCAAAATCTTTCTATTGTATTTGCTTTATTGAGTGAAAATTACATTTTTTAGCTATTTGTAGGCTTTTTTACTTCAGTTCATTTTTCTCAGTATATCTTGGACATAACCAGTAGAAGCCATTTCAGTTCATCTAAAATACATATGTTGAGGCCAGATTACCTATTTACCCAAGGCACAGTAGGGACCTTTACTGGAAAATTACTTCACCTCTCTTTGACAAAGGATTCAGGAAGAAGTTTATTTTTCCACTGGCTGTAGAAGTCAGGACTAGTTTAGACTAGATACATAATTTTGATGGCTAATATTTATTTTAAAAAAATATGGTTATTCCCCTCAGATATCAATTATTATTTCCAATTATTATGGAAAGAGATCAGTAGTAATATTAATCTTTAATTAGCTCTGTGATTTAGTTAGTTACATCTGGGGAAAGGCAGGAAAATACTCTGAGTTTTAAAGGAGGACAGTCTCTTAAGTGTATCTTTCAGTATCATTTGAACCATCTGCACAGTCAGGTGAAATCATTAACATTTTCCCACACGGCACTGGTATCTTTTATATAGATGGGCAAAAAACCCAAGGCAGATAATAAATATAGCTTTGTTTTCAGAGATCTTGTACGATTGAGAAATTGGATTTTTGTTACTAACTTCATCTAAAACAAGTGATAAATGTGATTCTTTTTATTTATACCATAATCTCTTCAAAATCCATTATTGCTCAGAAAATCTATAAGAAAAAACCCTAACATCTGTGAAAAATGATATTCACTGTTCTGGTAAATTTTAAAATTTTTAATAAAGAAGACAATAGGAGACAATAAAGCAAAGGGTTAAAATGGCCGGGTGCTTGGCACTCTGTCAAGAGCACGCCTGGTGTTTTGGAAACACCCTTTATATACCATTTCTATTGCATCAACTTGATGCATATTCATAGACTTTATGCATATTCAAACTTTTCTATTAACTAGTTTACATGTTCCAGGAACTTTCTAGCATGGCCACTCCATGGCCACCTTTTTAGAGCATGTGTGTTTCTTGGCTTGCGGCCTTAATTCTCTTCTTACCGCCTTTTAATTTGGGCCTTGGCTCCTTCTTTCCACAGACGGTGAGTGTTGATAATCAGCAGGGTCCCCATCATCTATTCATTGATTGTTATTCTAACTAGGCAGACAGTTCAAACATACTATATCAACTATTACAGCAAAGCCATTCTAACATTATACATACCGCATTCATCTTAATACTTGCGAAAAGCTAATATTAGAGTATGTATTTATAACACGTCCAAATCTCAGTTCTTTGAGAAAATGGCAGGTTGTCCTTTGTAAGCAAAAGTGATAGAATCTCCAATAAAGAAAACACTCCTTGACAAATTCACAGAACCTATTACTGGAAGAAAAAAACCAACCAGAACAAAACAGCTGTAATAGCTCTCCCTCTGGCGAGCTGACACTGACAGGATGCCTCGGGGTTCTTGTGGCAAGGCTGTCCCTGTCTTCTGTTTCTCTCTACATCTCTCTTTTCCCCTCTTTTTCTCTTTTCTATCCTACTCCAGTCAGGACCATACTCCTTCTTTATCAGTAAACAGTTCTCAGATATACTATTTTTCCATGTTTGTGTTTTATTTTCATCCAAGAAATTGATCAAAAAGAATCTTCTTGACTCCCCTTACAGCTGAAGAGGACACCATCATCAAGCTTTCCATTGATGTGAAAGGAATTTTAAAAAGCATGTAAAAATCCTATTCAGTGATCAAGGTA